AATTGTTCAAAGCAAATTTGTCATATTACACATTCATCTGATCTGATTTTATGGTTGAGAGAAATTTTTATTATTATTATTATTATTACTACTTATAAGTGGTCTTTGACCGCTTTAAGTAAAGTAGCATAAGAAAAATGACAAGATATGAGACTTATAATACATTATAACTATGAGAAATATAATCCATTGTAAAAGTGGATGCAACGTGTTCATTGTGTTATAAATCATCATATTCTTAAAAGCTATAACCACAAATAAGTAAATATTATAATATATTAAAACTGTTCTTATGAATATTCATGAGATGATACAACATATTATAAGGTTTTTTATAATGCATTATGCATTAATTATAATGCCTTACGAATACCTTTATAATATATTATAAATACGGGCTTCATAGAAAGTGTTACCGGAAGTTTTTGCAGTGATGCCTTTTGGCGAACCATTATGGGTTGGAAAGGTGGAAAGTTTCTCAGAATGAAAAGGTTCTCATTATGTTTACGGTTCTTCATGGAACCTTCAATGCAAATAAAGAACCTTTATTTTTAAGAGAGTTGTGTGAGCTGTGGATCAGAATTTAAGATAAGCATTCTACCAAAGAACCTCATTCTCCAAACGACTATTCTCTTTTTGTGAACTCGGACAAAAAAAATGATGCTGAATCATCACGTCTACTACCCAGCATGCTTTGTGGATATACTGAATGTGATCGATTTACAGGGCGAGTAATAACAGCTAAAAGAAGATGTTCTAACACTGTCCTTTTCAAATGGTTGTTATAAATGCTGTTTTGTTTTGTTTTTAAACCTGTGTCTTTTGGTAGGATATTAGAGTATTTTAATACATCAATTTCCACATTCATGAAAAACTACAGATTTTAAAGATTTTAGCTTCAACCATCCATTTAGTTTTGTTTTCGTTATAGTAACTCTTCACTTCTAACTAGATCAAATCAAATTTGATTTTTAATAGTATGGGATGATGAGACTCTGGCCTGGGTCAATCAAACCTACAACCTTCCAGAGCTTTTAAAACTAAAATTCAAGAGTTGTCACCTTTAGCAAGTCACCTAACCTAAGGTTACTTGTTCTTTGAATAAAAGAGTACTGTAAATTGTTTGAATGAGAAAATAAAGAACAAAACATACTTAAACTACGTTCAAAATACACTTCAAATAGAATTTAAGTGTTCTAACATGGAACAGTGAAATACCTCATCATCTTACAGGTTCCACCAGGCTAAACTATCACTTTGCTGCCAGGGATACAGAGGTGAAGGAACACTTTCTATAGATAAGCTCTGGTTTCTGTCTGGACTGTATAAGGTAACGCTGCATCCCAGCGTTGGTTCCATCCAACTAAACATTCAACACTTTACTAAAG